GGCGTCTGAATGTGTGTCTGTGTTCTAGAACCTGACGTAGTGTGAATATCTGGTCTATACAACCACGTCCAGGTCGAAAACCAGCCTGATTTTCTCTAGCCTGCTCTTCACGAGCTTTAGTTAGGCGTCGAAGTATTATTGAAACTAATATTTTAGACACTATATTAGTCAAACTAATTCCTCTGTGATTGTCACAAGAGGACTTTTGTCCTTTCTTATAGACTGGCGCAATCAGTGATTGAGACCAGTCAGATGGGATTACGTCTAGTTCCCAAATTCTGCCTAAGACCTCAGTTAACCTCACTGATAATACTGAACCACCATCTTTAAAAATCTCAGGAGTTAACCTGTCAGGGCCTGCTGCTCTTCCTCGCTTCAGATTTCCTATGGCTTTTTCAACTTCGTAAAGAGACGGAGGACCTACATTAACTTGCCATTCAGGTTGACTGGAGATCGTGGGAAACCGAAGTGTGGGTGAAGGCCAGTTGGACTGATCCCTGAAGTGTTCTGCCCATCGATCCAATCTCCTGGATTGAGAATGAATAATATGTCCATCTTTCTCTGAGATTGTTTCGCTAACGGTCGGGCTCCTAATTCCGGTTTCCTTAACGAGTCTGAACAATTGTCTGCTATTACCTATTGCCGCTGCCTTTTCCATCTCTCTTGCTTTCTCCAGCCACCACTGTTCGCGATCATTGCGTAGACTTCTTGTTAGCTTGCGCTTAAGCTGACTCCGCTCTTCATTATGTTCAGAGCCAGGTGGAATGAGTTTCCGAGCATCTATCAGTGCGATAGATGCTGCTGAGATCCAGTGCTGCTCCCTAACCTTCTGGTTTACCTTACTAGCAAGTATCACTGTTGTTTCCACAGCTTTTCGGATATCATTCCATGCTGCATCGGGGTGGGCATCACATACATGGCTGCCTAACTGTTTTCCTAGTTGTTCCTGGAATATACTCTTAGCTTGACTATCATTAAGTAGGCCCCTAAGAGGTTTCCTTGCAGCGTCTTTCCTACGTCCAGTAAGACGCAGACAGATACGCGCTCGTACTAGAGCATGATCTGAATCTAAGCATGTGCTCCAGAATGAGCGAGTCTTCTATCGAGCCCCTCCATCGGTGGCTGATAGCGATGTGATCTATTTGGGTCCAACTTTGGGACGAATTATGGGGTCGCCATGTTAAAGGATGTTTTCCCTTATGCTTAAAGTTAGTATTTGCAAGAAAGAGGCGGTTATCTGAGTATAGCTGTAACAGACGGTCGCCATTATCTGTTCTTTGAGCCGCGATGCTATAAGATCCACCCAGGTGTCTTCCCCTTTCGCTTAGTTTACCTACTTGAGCATTAAAGTCACCGGCCATTATTACTACATCCGAGCGCCTGGTTTTTCGGAGAAGGTCGGAGAGCTTTCTGTAAAACTCATCTTCTGCATCATCTGCGCTGCAGTCAATGGGAGAATGGGCAGAGACGACGAAGAGGTAACGACGAGTGTCCCTATCTTTTCGGATCCTTACTGTTCCGTTCAGTCGGACAGCGCACAAACGACTGTCTACTGGGATCCAGTCTAAGAGAGCTAGTTCTGCCCTAGGACTCAATGCTATACCTACGCCGGCGAGTCCACGAGAAGCAGCATCTGGGCTTCCAGATACACGAAGTGTGAGTCGAGTCGGTTCTTTATTTTAGCATGGTGAGGTCAAATGAATGACGCTACTCGGATCCTGTATGCGCGTTTCGGAGACGCAGCACACATCGATGGCGCGAGATTCTAAAGTCCTAGCTAAGGAAGCCTGCTGTCTCATTTGGCAAAGTGTTTGTACGTTAAAAGCTCCTACGTGTAGTTTAGAGCGTGGTTTCAGGAGACCAGGAATTGCATTCAGCGTACTCGAATCGTTTGCCCCAGCGGTGCGAGATGATAAAGAGACGTGAGGAGGGTTAGTCATGGAGATAAGAGTGGTATTAGGAGGTGTAGGAAGGATTTGAATGTGACCAACTTGGTCTCGTGTGCTGTTACGGGTATAAGGGCTGATATCACTTCCCGGCTGCCCACACCGTGGAAGAGTATTTCTTGAGGAACCTGAAAAGGAAATTGGATTAGTGTTGGTCTTAATGACCTGGGAGCGTGACCGCAGAGCCCGAGGGACAACTGCTTGAGGCCGGTCGCGCACGGCCTTTTCGTGGAAGGTTTTTATTGTGTTAGCTCCGTTCTTCAAAGGGCCTTACCGCCTGAGACGGAAATTCGTGAGGCAAGGTGTGACATTTTTAGGGTCGAGCTTTTCTAACCCCACCCCTCCTTGTGGGAAGGCAGCATCGCTGCAGATGCTGGTTGTCCGAGGGAAACACCTTATTGCTGTCACACCCCTCTACAGTCAGCAGTACGACTTCACCCTCAGACCTTGAGCTGCTGCTTTTAGTCTTACCGTTCTCCAATCGACCTGCCTGGTATGGTAGAACCTACAGGAATATATGTTCCAGCCATTATAGCTCGGTTGGGTCATCACGATAGGCAAGCCCGGCCACCGCGTCAAGGTAGCAGCTTCGGTCAACTTCGATGGCTGACAATAGGTGTGACACATGACAATATCATTTACCGGCAAACCTATGGTGTAGCAATGGGGAAGTTCGTTAGGTCCTATCGTAGCAGATTTTTTCATAGCTAACTTCCAAAGAACCAAGCTCAAAGGAGCGATTGATGAAATAGTGTATTATTCGACGTATGTTGGTGATACCTTCATCGTATGTAATAATCAACAACATTAATAAATCTACTAAAGCTTTTCAACGAAACTCATCCAAATATCCATTTTGCTGTGGAACATAAAAATGAGAACAAATTCCATTTTCTCGATATCGCAATCAAACGAAGGAAAGATGGGACAGCTCAACGTTTAGTTTATAAGAAAGATACATGGAACGGGGTTTATCTCAATTTCAGTAGCTTTTGTCCAATCAGTTACAAGAAGGCACTTGTCAAAACACTTTCATAGAACAGAAAGAATATATACTGCCGACACATTAAAAGAGGATGTTATGAATGTTAAAAAATGTTTAAAGAATAACGGATACCCACTGAAATTTATTGAAAAATACGGCAAATGTGAAGATAAAAAACCGAAAGAAATTACAGCAAATAAAAAGCCTATTTTTATTAAACTTCAATTCAAAGGTGACGATGTCACAGGATCAATCAATATGAGACTAAAAACTGCACTGACAAGAACTTATCCTGCAGCGAAATTGATTGTCCTGTCCAAAACAACATGTTCTTTGACACAATCAAAGGTCGACAGGTATCCCTTTCATGTTACCACCAACTGTGTATACAAATTTACATGTACCTGCCAAAGCAGTTACATTGGTAGAACAGAAAGGAGAGCCTACGTCCGATTCAAAGAACATATTCCGAAAAGTTTAAGGTTAAATGGATTGAACGCATTCAACAGTGCTATCGCAAGACATCTCCTTGATACAGGACATAAAGCTGATATACTGAAGTCCTTCAAGGTGATTAACAAACAATCAAACTCGAACCTTTTGAAATTCGCTGAAGCGTTAGCAATCAAACATTTAAAACCAGATCTATGTATACAAAAAGAGACAGTAATAAATCTTTCTTTACCCTGGTAACAATAACCCCCACTCTTTCTATTCATTTGCTCCTATTTATTTATTTATTACGTCATTATTGCAACTCTTTCTGAAGTTTAAATTACATCATACATAAATGATTGATTTCAATTCATATTTTCTTTATAACCATTAATCTATTTTCATGAGTTCTAATCACTATTTCAATGTTCCGGAACTTTCCCTCTCTAAATTTATTTATTTATTCGAATCAAACATTTTATGAGCTCATTAACTTTATCTGAATATTCGCTACATCATCATACACATGTATTGATCCTTCATCACACTCTTATGTATAAATATGTCAATACCTGTAATAACGTTGAATTTCAAATAATTTAGGTTGTAAGCAGCTGATGAGAACCTAACGAAATAAAATGAATTCATATTATTCTGCACCAATCTTTGTTCTTGCTCTATTTAAGATAATAAAGGGAACTATGTGTAAGTAGTTAAGCTGTGCTGTAAACATGACACATTACAATTAAATACAATATCTAGCGTAAGCATCACAATCACCGGCGGATATATACTCTATTCATCAGATCACCGTCAATGTTGCCTGCATGGTGAACGATGTTAAGTGGAAGACAGTTAAGGACCATCGTAAAGTAATCCCCATACCCACACTACCATCTACGTCAGTCATCATAGCCAAACCCACACCTCATGTTAGTGTGCAACATGGAAAAGAAACGGTACTCTCAGTCCCTTACTGATTTATAGGTAGTGTCGGTAATCAAGAAGGCCTGGTTCGATAACTAACATGTGATTATCGCGAACCGACTTGGCAAAAAACCATGCACACAGTTAACACAAAGTTCCACTAATTCTTATTCAAGTCTTCATTGAAGCACATTACAAACGACCCTAATACGTTTTCATTTATCAACATGAAGTGTGTCAATATGTGGCTTCATCAATCGCAACAGATTTTGGTGACTATGTACATCACTGCTTTTTTTGTCTCCTGTCATACCAACACATCTACTTTGACTTCAATGAATTATCTTCCAATGACTAAGTTATGTTATTTTCCATTTACGTACAAATCTATTCCAACATTCCATTATTTTCATTACAGATGTTCACTGTCAAATTGGAGTAATTTGTTCAACCTACTGATCATAATTTAAGGTTCGGTTTTATTGACTTCTTATGGAAATCTAGTTAATTAGCATGAATGACTGTAACTGCAATCCCGTCAGAATTGTGTTAGCTAATATCTACACTTCATACATTAATCAGTAGTGCATCGTATGGAGTAACTCCTAATTTTCCAAGGACTGTTGTCTTGTGATGAAAACTGTGTCTAAATATATTCTAATGACAGTCATGCCAATCGAATGTGGTGTGAAAATGAAAACGTCTAACGCAGCAAAAATAATATACTCATTTCTTGAACAAAAAAGGTGTATAAATATATACATGATTCTATATGAATTCATTCAGTCTGTATTTTTGAGAGTTTTCAAAATATGCTCAGACATTGATATAACAGCAAACCATGAAATATATTGTCCAAAATGACGCCAAATTGACACAAATTTTAATAGGACAACATTGAAATTATCCTGAACAGTAGTATTCACTCGAAAGTAATGTGAAGTGCTAGGTAATATAATTTTCACTAAATATTTCCGAATGCTTGAATCACGTTCAATTTGATGGATTAGTCCATTTATTTCAATGTTCAATACTTCGTATAAGTAAGTTCCACTTAAATTTCGTTGTTGTGTTTGTTGTTTTAATGATGCTGATGGATGTGAGCGAGTAGAATTTAAAGTAGACAAACTGTTACCATCTAGTGTAGAACCACTTTTTATCTTGACGGATGAGTCTAATGTCGACTGGCATGTGGCATACTGCTGGTAAATTGATTCATTTTGACTTAGATTTCTCAAAGCATTCAATTGATCTAGCTAAAAAAATTTCAACAATTCATTAATCAAACAAATCAGCAGTGAATAAATATCGATAAATTACCATACACATAATAAAACGATGGTTTATTATCATTATTTTACAACTAGACAATGATGGAAATAACTTACGGCGCCAATCCGACACCAGTTCAGAGTGCGACTTTTAGGATTTTCGCGTGAGATTTAAAACACGTTGACGTGTAACCTGTGCATTATTAAAAACAAAGTATCCTCTTACTCTAACCATACTCCTAACGCTAAAAAATTATAGATTATAAACCTGGCTATTTCATGTTTACTGTAATAAATCATTCAATATGTAAAGGTTCATAAATCATGTGATAACTACTTATTGACTTCCGTTTCAAAAGTTATTGATCAGAAATTGTTTTATAAATGGGCACTGGCTTCTCGTTTTTTGATAGGTCATTCAAAATTGACGGTACAATTTAGATCTCCTGAAACATCATCTATTTGACCTATATATCACCACAAGTAGAACTATGCTTTGTAGAGTTTAACGTTTTAACAATTATTTGGTCAGTAGCTTCGGTAATGCAGAACGAACAAAACATTTTGTTTCGGGTAATAGACATGAGTTCATAGGTCAATAAACGGATATCCTATGTATCTTTTCTGTTATTGTATTGCGTATTGACAAATATTGATGAGTGTTTTCAAAAAAGGCACAACAAAATAAGGGACAATAATGTATTAGTTTCATAGTTTAGTGTGGAATTTCGTTTATCACTCGTCCTAAAAACCGTTATTAGATAACTCCCAATGGCATACAAATTTCAGAAAACAATACGAAGCAATGATTACAGCTTACGATTGCTAAGCACAGATCACAAAGCCACCACGCGCATGATGGGAATGCCAACGAGAGAGAACGAGTGTATGAATAGGCCAACATTTGAGCTAGTGAGAAGAATATATCTGTAAGCTTTAACGCAGGATTAAGCATACATGATAATAGACACATGGGGATAGTAGCAGAAAGATGTAAGCAAATTGTTGACAAAATTCCTATTAGGAAACTGAAGTCCTTACTCTAGTTGTCGTAGAATGAAAGAGAAAAATAGAAGTCGTCTCGTTTGTCCTGTTGGAGTTGGAGTTGAGAAAAAGTACGAGTATATCACTGAACAATGAATAATGTGAAACTTTTAAGTGGGACTGTAAAAAATGAGTCAGGAATGTGATGTTTTCGGGACATCCAATAGGTTGGAAAACGATTAACGGATTGTGATGTGGACCATATTGATAAATAAATGGGATAAACGCAATACTATGACGAAAAAAGCACTCAGAGAACAAAAACACTAACCATAGACTTTAGCTGTACGCCACAATCTTCCATATTTTTTATACATTCATTTAGTTTATCATAATAGGTTTCCAAAATCTGACCATCACGAAGTTTTGTCATTTGTTCTAAATTATCATTTAAATATAGATTGCACAATCCATAAGTGACAAAATCATCATGATTCTCAAAGGATGATGAACCTGTGAGAAAATTTAAAATACGAAACAAAGCTTTGAAAACATACACCTTTTAATTTTATTAACCATTATTTAATAAGTAGTATGTCTCTTCCTATGTAATTTTAATCTCATGATTCTTCGGAAAATTGGTCGGTTGGTAAGTCCAAATAACATAGAAGTAATTCATGGAAATTTATATCAATAAATTAGTTAAACTTTTCATACTAACATCAGAAACGAGAGAAAAAATATAAAAACCTCTTTTTTATTAACTATCCGCTATAATTTTTTCCTAATGACGATAATGACTAGCCTTATATTTACAGTGTTGGAAAAACGACCAATTTAGTTGGAAGTTTCTTTTAGAGGTTGATATCATATTATGTATATTTCAATAACAACCATTTATACGATCTACTTGGAGTCAGATTACGGGCAACTAAAATAATGTCCCCTATCTTCGTATATAATCATTGATTTAAATTGCGTTATTCAATAACGGAACTAAATAAGTCAAATACGAGAATGAATTTCGAATACGTATATTTACACACAATCTTTGATCCAGACAAAATATCGGAGAAGTGAAGCGGAACGACGCGCAGTGGAGAAGGCTTGTGAGCCAACTCCCTTTACTTTAGTCAAGCGTCAGTCAATATTTATAGTCACACAAAAATAAGCTACAGACATGTGATTATTAGGATAAGAAATGTACATACATATATGCGCTCATAAAAATCAGTCAAGATGGATAAGCGAATAATTAATAAGGTCAAAATATGACTCAAGTAGAATGAATAGATTGGCCTGTTCGAAAACTAGAATAAGGTACATGGCTTTAAAATAATAACCGACACCACAAGATAAGTAGTATGTATCAAGAATTGGAGGTAGGATTCTTATTGACAGAAGAGGAAAATGAGAAAAGAGAGAAAACAGTAGAAGCAGTTCGAGTAGCAGCAGTAATGAAAGAACGATGGAACTTGTAAGAGATAATTTAAATATGTACAAATAGTGCATTTAATGTAATGTTTTGATACTTTATAAATGCAGTATGTGATTTTGCTTAATACAGTAAACTGGATTAAACTAACCAAGTCTTCATTTATTACACCACCAAACTGGATACTTAATCGATATGCTACACAGAGACTGTGCCATGTTATACAAGATACACAATTCACGAGTAAAAATAAAAGCCCAGAGTATACTTACTTAATTACGCCTGTTACTCCTCATGAAGGAGCATAGGCCGCTCACCAGCATTCACCATCCAACCCTGTCCTGGCCAGTCCTTTCCAGCTCCTTCCAATTGTTATTTATCCTTTTCATATCTGCTTCTGTTTCCCAACTTAATGTGTTCTTTGACCTTCTTCTTTTCTTTTTCCCTTCAGGATTCCAGGTTAGGGCTTGCCTCGTGATGCAGTTTGACGATTTGCGTAATGTAGGTCCTATCTATTTCCATCGTCTTTTCTTAATTTCTGCTTCAGCTGGAAGCTGATTTGTTCTTTCCCATTGAAGGCTGTTGCTGATGGTATCCGGCCAATGGATGTTGAGTATCTTGCGAAGACAGCTATTTATAAATACTTGTACCTTCTTGATGGTGGTTGTTGTAGTTCTCCAAGTTTCAGCTCCATACAGTAGAACTCCCTTGACGTTCGTATTGAAGATTCTCACTTTGATATTGGTTGAAAGTTGTTTTGAGTTCCATATGTTCTTCAATTGTAGGAATGCGGTCCTTGCTTTTTCAATCCTTGCCTTAACGTCTGCATCTGAGCCTCCTTGTTCAACGATGATGCTTCCCAGGTATGCGAAGGATTCTACATCTTCCAGAGTTTCTCCATCAAGAGTGATTGGATTGATGTTCTCCGCTTCGAATTTGAGGACCTTGGTTTTCCCTTTGTGTATGCTGAGGCCTACTGATGCAGAAACTGTTGCTCGTGTTTGACTGTTGTTAATTGCTGCCTTCTTGTTTTTCCTTTCTTTGATCTTGTCCAGTGTTTCTATAGAGATCCATTCTTTATGGTGGTGCTTCTTTAGACTCAGAACCTCTTGACACGTTGAAGTTAATGCTTCTTTGATACCTTTCCAGTTGTCCTCCATAGTTGTTCCTTCTTCCTTCAGTAGATCCTGTAAGGCTTAGAACCTGTTGTTGAGAGCTATCTCGAATTCATTGAGTCTGTCAGTATCTCGAAGGAAGGCTGTATTGAACCTTTGTATTGCTGTTTGTCCAGTTGTCCAGTTCTTTTTTAGCTTCAGTTTCAAGTTGGCTACAACTAGGTGGTGATCTGAAGCCATGTCAGCACCTCTCCTGGTTCTCACATCTTCCATTGTCCTTCGGAAATTTTGTTGATGCAAACATGATCTATCTGGTTCTCTGTAGTGTGGTCCGGTGAGATCCATGTAACTTTGTGTATACGCTTGTGTGGAAATATTGTGCCACCTATGACCAATTTGTTGAATGCACACAGATTTTCAAAATGTTCCCTATTTTTGTTTCTCTCTCCCAGTTCATGTCGTCCCATGATATCTTCATATCCAGTGTTGTCTATCCCGACTTTGGCGTTTAGATCTACCATCAGAATGATGTGGTCCTTTCTTGGGCATTTCTCTATGATTGATTGCAGAGTATAGGCTAGATGATATTTTACTCAACGCACAAGCAGTCTACATTCAATAAGTAAAGAGTAGAAAGCAATGATAGAAAAGAAACCACATATTTAAGGAGTTAAAAATCTGTCTGTACATTCACATCCAGTAGCTAATCAAATCTTGCTTCACTGATTACTCATCAGTGTTGATTATAAATGATTGATATATGGAGAATTATAGGTTACTTGCTGAGTATTATACCATTTTGAAATTCTCCGACATCCTAGTCAGGGCTCTATATGATCACATTGTCAACTTAAAAAGGCAAGATGTGTGGCTTTCGATTTTATTCAATCTAACTATGAGGCAAAATATTGCCTTAATGTAGAACTAGTTACTCAGAACTTTTGCGACCAATGTAACGTCATGGAGGGATAAACGATGCCAACGTAAGTCACATCAATTTTACCGATAATTTTAAAACCTAAATATGACCTTAATTTAAGGATGAATCGGGAAGATATGACTGCCAAAACAAATGAACTCCTACGACGGATTCCGAGGAATATTGATGTGGATTGACGTAAACGAAGTCTCATGTCAAAACGGTCAGAATCTACTGGAAACATCTAAAACTTTTAAACTAAAAATTCTGATCAGGTTAGGACAAGAATACTTACGTGTAGTACAAGGCATGATTCAAAATGGAATAATTATGTGTTCAAACATACCTGATAAGATTTTACAAATATTTGAAGCCAGATTTGTGAAAACAATACATGACTGATGGAAATTTGTGCTCCATTTCTTTTTTAAAGGGAGAATTTTATTTAATAAATTTGTTAGGCGTTCATTTATTGAAAACGAGATCCTCGATTCCTAAGTGGTAAATTAAAAAAGAATAAACAACACATTGTTTTAAAAATTGACAGTTCTACGAAGTTAACAAATTTTATGCAGCTATTCTCTTAATGATACCTGTATTAATCAAAACGATAATCCAAACTGAAAAGTATTGAACGAGTGTTTAGTTCTAGAATGGGGCATTTTAGCAATACATACTAGTTCCTATAGAGATCGAAAACATGACAGAAAAATACCGAAAATAGAATTCTGTTTTGTCATTTGAATTTAATATACACACATGTCAAGTCAAAGTCGCTCATTAGCGATTTGATTTGTACACAGAAGTGTAAGCTTTGTGGTTGGGTTACGTAAGGCAAATAAAACCGGCAATTAGAGACTTATCCACTTTTTTCTCTAAACAGTGTATCATCTTATTTAAGCTTTAAATTTTTAGCTGACTTAAGTATTTTCTTCTTCAAATCATTTCATTACCAAAATGAATTTAATTTTTTTTTACTGCTCTAACTTGAGTGTGGAGTTATGCATGACGTATTTCAGCGACAACAGAAATTAGCATGTTGACTGAATAAGCATTGAAATTTTGGGAAAAGTACAGTGATTTAGTTATTCACCATTGCATACCTTAATATTATTTCCAGTGGGGTTCAGAACACATATTTTTTCCATTACAGAATTGTCAGTTAGATGTGCCTGGATATCAACCTATCGGCTTTCCAGACCAGACCTGAAATAGACATCCAAAAATTTCATCATTATAGCATTTTATACTAAACCTCCTCCTACCCTTTAGGTTTTTGAACTTTCCTCTCTTTAAATGTACTCAAGATGATACGTCACTTTGAAATGGCATAAGAAAGCGGCTCAATTATGTGTCAACACTTCAGGCTGTTGAAAGACCAAGTGGATATTTTTCTCCTACATACTTTAATTCATACTGTTGCATCTGGATAATCCTATTGAACATTCCATGTTATTGTTGAGCCGATTACATCATTGAGTAGTTACGATGCTACTTATCAATGAAGTTTTCCATAAGAATTAGAATCTTGACAACCTTTCTTCCCTTAGAGTGTGTTTGGATATCAAGTACACGGATCTGCACTATGCAGAACTAGCTTAGAAAATGAATGCTGGACAACTCTGGAAGAACTCTACCTATTATCATCTTAGAAAAAAGCTCAACATACGCCCTTAAACGAGGATGTAAAGGGATTAATATATCACATTGAGTGACAAAACATTTACTTAACACTGCTTTTAGAATCGACTACAAGGTCTCACCTGCTTTACGGATGAAATATTCCGATAATTTTGACAATTAATTGGAGTTGAGGTGATAAACTTGGAATGGTTGTTACGATATTTCCAACTCTTTACATCTTTTGATAAGGAGGCCACGAAAACACTTGAATTGCTTTTCTCTTCCATATACTCAAATTCTGAAGTCTAACTTTTGCGATGTCAAACCAATATATACAAAATATATTTAAACACAAGTTTATGGAAAATTTGAAACTGAAAACTAAATAAACGATCGAACAGGAGGAGTGTTCAAATTCATTTAGGCCAACTACTATTGTTTAGAGGAATATTTAATTTTATTTAAAATACCAGACTGTAGAAATTAACACGTAGTATAATGACGTCATGGAGACATGTAACTATACAGAGTCGAGTGTCTTTCCAATCAACTCGAAAGTTTGCAACATTTGGGAAAGAGCAAAGAAATGAAATTCAGCTACACTATATAGCATATACAATCAGTATTATGAACACCTTATTTTTGTGCTTCACTCTATAGAACGTACGGGAATGAATGTTATAACGCTCGCGATTTACTTCGTCTAATGTTATAACGGTTGGGTTTCCACGTACACATATGGGACGTTGATTTACCTTAAACGATTATCTACACTAGACCCCTCCCAGTGTCTACTCTACAGGACGTCAACACAACTAAGATCAAGAACATGTAATTAACCTGACCACAACGTAAATATATTTGCACACCAAAACCCGTCACAATCCACAACAATGAACAAACAATAATAAGTGTGTTGCAATGATAAGAATAAAGGAATATATAACTCATCTGACACATGTCAGACTATCTACATGTCTGACTAAGCAGACAACCAATCATGATCATCCTCGACCACACATCACCTCCCTCGCGAAGTTTGGTTGTATGACTTCACTTTTGGGTCTATTTGAAAAGATCTCTTTTGTTTTCATTCCTTTGATGATCTTCGTTTAACTTCTGATTTCAGCTCATTTTTTCTCATTTCAACTTGTAGTGGCGATTGGATATTAAATATATCACATAATACTTCCATTGGTAAAACTTTGGGTTTAGATGACTCATAAACATTTTTTCTGTCTCGCAGTTGATTGATGTGTCTAATAATTAGTGTATTTTCGACCATCACTTCATACAGTACGGCCCTACGTCTTTTTTTAATACAGCCAAATATCCATCTTGGCTTGCCAGGCCGGAAATCACATGCGTAGACTGAGTCATCTGCTTTGAATTCTCGAGTCTTCGGGCAATTTCATTCATCATTCTTTTATAGTCACTCATTCCGTCTTTCGGGATCAAAACATCAAAAAATGACCAATTAGGACATTTTTTTGATGTTTTGATCCCGAAAGACGGAATGAGTGACTATAAAAGAATGATGAATGAAATTGCCCGAAGACTCGAGAATTCAAAGCAGATGACTCAGTCTACGCATGTGATTTCCGGCCTGGCAAGCCAAGATGGATATTTGGCTGTATTAAAAAAAGACGTAGGGCCGTACTGTATGAAGTGATGGTCGAAAATACACTAATTATTAGACACATCAATCAACTGCGAGACAGAAAAAATGTTTATGAGTCATCTAAACCCAAAGTTTTACCAATGGAAGTATTATGTGATATATTTAATATCCAATCGCCACTACAAGTTGAAATGAGAAAAAATGAGCTGAAATCAGAAGTTAAACGAAGATCATCAAAGGAATGAAAACAAAAGAGATCTTTTCAAATAGACCCAAAAGTGAAGTCATACAACCAAACTTCGCGAGGGAGGTGATGTGTGGTCGAGGATGATCATGATTGGTTGTCTGCTTAGTCAGACATGTAGATAGTCTGACATGTGTCAGATGAGTTATATATTCCTTTATTCTTATCATTGCAACACACTTATTATTGTTTGTTCATTGTTGTGGATTGTGACGGGTTTTGGTGTGCAAATATATTTACGTTGTGGTCAGGTTAATTACATGTTCTTGATCTTAGTTGTGTTGACGTCCTGTAGAGTAGACACTGGGAGGGGTCTAGTGTAGATAATCGTTTAAGGTAAATCAACGTCCCATATGTGTACGTGGAAACCCAACCGTTATAACATTAGACGAAGTAAATCGCGAGCGTTATAACTATATATATATATATATATATATATATATATATATATATATATATATATATATTCAGAAAATCAACTTAAGAACGCCTAAGTGTTCTACAAATAAATCGTACTCAAAGATTAGAAATTTCAACATAGAATCAACTGCCCTTCATATTAGTTACATGCCAGTATATATCAAGGCCTTCATATGTAAACTATGTTTTCACTAGTGTTTGACCGTTATGATTTTGCGGTCTATCATCTAGACTGTTGTAAGTAGTGGAACTTTTATTTTTATTCAACCTTTTGGAGGATTTGATTCAGTAAATAATACGTTTATGAAATGATCTCTTAAGAAATGACTTGTCAAACGGTTCTCTCACAGATTGTACAGTTATCTGGTAAGCTTTAGTATAAAACCATCTGAACACAGGTGATGTAAGAACGTCTACTCTACTCCCGAGAGTAAAATAACTATCAGTCTATTAGAAAACTCTTCAACAAAAACGACTCAGAAGTAAATTTTTAAGACCTCTTTTTTATTTAACAATTAATTTACGCTTCAGATGACAAAGGCAGATAGACTAATGTGTAATAACTCGAAAAAGTCACTGAAATATGCCTGGGCTCCCATTATCCGACTAAAGCAAGCCCTTAGATTTATCCTACATAAAATAACACAAAAAGGAGTGACCATACCTGTAAACTTTACAGGAATGTGAGGAGTAACACTGGCTTGTCGTGGTTCCTATGCCTAACTGCATTCACCAATTTTCTAATGGGTATTCTTACCGCAAAAGATCCGGAAAGTTACGGTTTCACTATACAAGCTCCTTTTCACGATATGAGTGAAAAGATTAACAAATATCATATTAGATCAGAAGAAAATTTGAATGACAAATCACACGCAACTATTTTGGGGTGTTTTAATAGTAATATTACTAATAATTGTTTTGTTTAGTCCTATATACTTCGTAAAATATGCAATTCTCAGCAACTAGGATTAGTTCTAGTAAGCAGAACATTAAATTTAATAATAATAACAATAATTGAAAACCATAGTTTTTCAGAAAAACCCAAGCTGGCGAACATAAACCACCTTCTTACCAATACCACCGGATTTAGAATGTTAAAGATAAACAATGTTGATACTGACAGATACGTGTGCTGGTCTACTAATTGTCAACTCTGGTGTTAATACGACGAACGAGACTATTTCCATTCGTGTCTTCCATGAAACATTAACTAGAGTAAAAACTTCAATTTCCTAATAGAAAATATATTTAGGTTAATGATCTATATATCTATTAAAATGGTCATAATTAATAAACTGATAAATTGTCAATGAACACAAATCATAGTGAGAATACATTGGAAGCCTACAAAATAATGAGAAAATGTATTGAAAGTTGACTTTATATTCACACTAAATTCACCTTGAATCGATATTAGTTTTTTTCTCACAAGTTGTATTTGGAGATTTCCCATCGCCAACAGATACTCTATCCACCTAGTAATTCTTGGGTGATAGATGCATCACACTCCCTACCATAGTAAAATGACTGGGACAACATTGTGTGGTACCCCAATTTCTATTCCCTTTGGCATTCTCCAGCTAAAAAACCATATTCTGTCCTGAAGTTTCTTTCCAGAACATTAGGAAACCTAATCTCGGAAAAATTGAGAACTCATTTAAGTGTTTACTTCAAAATTCATCTGAAAAAAAATCTGCGTTATCCTCCTACTTTAAGAAGCATAGTGTTCGCTTCGAAAGCGTTCCAAGAACAGCAGCTACAAAGGTGCTCTGACTAAAAAATCCATACGCAGTTCTGCAGGAAATTCTAAGCTTCCAACCTGTGCAGTACAAAAGAATTAGGGGGAATATGATTCAGATGTATAATTTCCTCATGGTCCTCTTCACCATAACAGACCAACGATTCATCCTAGTACTAAATTACACCTAAGAGGATATCCAATTATAAAAAGAATATGAACGAACTCATACAGAAATCTGTGCAAGCTTTCCAGTGGTTAAGATCAGCAAACTGTAGAAGTCCCTACTAGGGACAATAATAACAGCAACTTCTATAGAGTCGCGAGAAAACTCGATGTTTACCCTAATTCCGTAGGGACTAAGAGCGATTACTTTAAGAGCTACTCCACGGCCACTTTCATTATTAATAACTGACTTGTTTTAACTGTCACTTTCAGAAAAATGACAACCATACGTCTTAACTACCAAAAACGCTTTACAACCGCCCGTACGAAGATTATAAGAAAATAATAGTTTGCCAGTTCCGCTATGCTAATTTTTAAAGTTTAACTCGCAGTTTTTATCCCATTTAACTGCAGAACCCTATGAGGAATGGACACGTTTCTCAGTGACAATCAGTATATTCTCATATATTACATTCAAACTGGTTGAGAACAAATGCCTTTTATCCACTCACTGTAGCAGTTCTTGTCATACTTCTCTCTACTTGATATATTTTCGCTCCCACGACTATGCCCGTTACATGGGTCATTTTCTCCTAATAAAAAGTGGTCAGTCAGTCATTCGGTAACAACGTAGAATTTCGCACGTACGTACATCAGTTCGAGTTGCCATACCACACTAGCACACAGATGGAGTGGTCGATTTAAATCCCGTAGTGGTAGAGGTAATAAGAGTATAAGCAGTAATCGGGAAGATTAGTGTTTGGAGATGTTATTTAAAGGGTATAATACAGTGAAATAAATTTCAGAGGAGAAAAAAAGAGACAAGGAGAAATAAGGAGATCAAAATTTGGGAGAACATAAAGAGTAGATGCACCTGCGCCATTGCAAACGATTTTGAGCCATGTCATTCAGCGTCTCTAACCATCGGTTGCTATCATCTCGCGGTCCCCAACCAGATAGTCTACACCTACCGACATGACTCAGTCCACTTGTCAGTGACTTCATGGACTTGTGCCATGTTTTGTTCTGGCCGCCCCTAGCTTTCCTCCAACCTACTCCTATACCACTGAACATCGCACGTCGAGGCAGTCGGTCGTTGGACATACGTAGCACGTGTCCCAGCCATCTCAACTGATGAAGTTTCACTACGTCATCAATTGATTTACCATCCTTATCTAGTACCCGTTTCCTAACAACTGCGTTACTTACTCGATGGTCCCAGGATATACGAGCGATATTTCGAAGACACCTATGATCAAATACTAGTAACCTACGAATATCCTCTACTCTTGCCGGCCATGTTTCACTGCCATAAAGTAGGACGGAACGAACTGCTGCGCAGTATTATTATTATTTGAACATATGAATACTGGTACAAGAGAGCGCCAATATATGCGCCACACAAAACAATGAGAATCCGAAGAGAAATAGAAAAAAAGCTAAGGAGCGCAAAAAAAGAGAACAATAACGAAGAGAATGGTGTAAGGCTGTACGGTAGAAATGAGGGAACGGAAAGGTACAATGGGAAATCTTTCAGGTAAGGGATACACAACCACTTTTTATGAAGAAAGTAAAAGAAGGTTACAGCAGGATCGCCACTGTCTTCTATTCTGAGCCATATCTGATAACGTCTCTAGCCAGTGTGTAGCACCATCTCTCGGACTCCAGCCTGGGAGTCGTGAAGGACCAACAGAAGCCAGTCCTTTGCAGCTTTATTTCATGCCACGACACCATGTCATACATTGGCCACCTCTCCGCTTTTTCCAACCAGTCCCAGAGTCGGCAAATAATGCACGACGAGGAATTCTCTGGGACGACATTCGTAGAACATGTCCAAGCCACCGAAGTCGGTGTTTCAAGATGGTGACACCAATTGAATTATCATCTCTGTGCCCGAAAACACGTGCCGAACCTCTGCATTACTGACATGGTGTTGCCACTGGATGTCAGCAATCCTTCGGAGACAACGATTATCGAACACAGATAGTCTTCTAACGTCCTCAACTCGGAGAGACCAGGTTTCACAAGCATAGAGAAAAACTGCTCTCACCGACGCGTTGTAGATCCGACCTTTTACAGCCAGACTAACATCACGAAGGCACCAAAGATGGCCCAGATTAGCATGAGTCGCTCTGGCTTTCACTATACGTGCATTGATCTCATCACTCACACCCCCACCAACACTTATGCAGCTACCCAGATACACGAACTTCTCGACTACGTCTATCTGCTCACCATCCAGAGTGAGTAAAGGACTAGAATCCTGCCAGTCTTGTAGAAGTACTTTGCACTTGGAAGGTGCAAAGCACATACCATACCTACGGACACTGATTGCCAACTGATTAAGTGCGGATTGCATGCCTTGGCCTTATCGCACAGTAAGACAATATCATCCGCATACTCCAGGCAACAGATCCACACCACCTTTACTTACATCCATCAGAGCTGTTTCCAGAATATCGTCGATGGCAAAGTTGAAGAGGAATGGTGAGATTGGGCAACCCTGCCTAACCCCGCTGCTCGAATGAAACGATGGAGAGAGGTGGTTGTATGTCCTCACTTCGCCTGAGGTGTTTGTACACAAAGCTTTTAGGATGTTAATAAACTTCTCAGGTACACCGTTCTTCAATAGACAATCTCAGAGAACAGTCCTGTCCAACGAATCGAAGGCAGCCCTGATGTCAAGAAATACTACGATTGTTGGCCTTTGATAAGTATGACGGTGTTCTGACATTTGGCGGAGGGTAAAGATATGATCAATACATCCTCGACCAGAACGAAACACAGCCTGCTCCTCGCGAGTCAATCTTTCTCAAGTTTTGAACAACCTACGAAGTATGACGGAAGCCAACATCTTGGACGCAATCGGAAGTAGACCTATCCCCCGATAGTTGTTACAGGAACGACGTGAACCCCTTTTAAAAATAGGGACAACTATCGACTCATTCCATGACGTTGCTACACTCTCTAGTTCCCAAACCTTTGTAAACAGCGTCGTCAATTCCTTAGTCAAAAAGTCACCACCATCTTTAAAAAGAGCCGGAGGTAAGTCATCTGGGCCAGGTGATTTGTAACGCTTCAAGAGTTGAAGTTCCTTGAGGACTTCCGCCTCATTTGGTGGATCAGTCGTCACCGGCCATGGAGTACAGGACAGTCTGACCGATGTTGCCGGAGCAGCAGGCCAGTTGAACTGCCCTTCGAAAAATTCTGCCCATCGTCCAAGACGTCGATGGATGTTAGTGATTGACGTTCCGTCATCCTCGCAGATTGTTTCGCTCACACCAGACTTCTTCCTGCCAGTGGCTCGGATGAGTTGGAAGAGCTTCAGGTAATTACCAGATGCAGCTGCTGCTTCCAGCTCATTAGCACGCTCCGACCACCAGGCTTCTCGGTCCTTACGCAAGCTTTGCCCAATTTCCTTACGTAACATCCTTCGTTTGTGGTCAAACTCACGGTGACCCGGAGTAGGCCGACGGGCTTCGATGAGTTGTAAGGAACCTGCAGAAACCCAGTGCTTATAAGCGGGACGTTTCGCGAACCCACAACTGATTTTACCCGTCACGCAATTGCAACCAATGCTCATCCATACTTTTCGGTGGAATGGTAGCTAGCCTAGAAGCTAGCTCGGTTCGATACTTACTTGCAACAAAAGTTGCAACCGGCCTGCCAACATCAATATGTTGGTGGCGGTCACTTCGTTGGCCACTGAAAAGTAAGGCAAGATTGGTGCAGACCAGGGCATGGTCAGAGTCCAGATAGGTACTCCAAAAGGAGCGGCAGTCTTGTACACAACCACGCCAGCGGCAACTGATCTCGATGTGATCAATCTGAGTCCAGGCTTGAGATGCAGAAGGGGGACGCCAGGTGGCACATCGGCGATGACTGTGCCGAAAGTTAGTGCTGGCCAGGAACAGGTTGTGGTCCGTGCACAGTTGCAGTAGACGGTCCCCGTTATCTGACCTGCGACCAACAAGTCCCCATTGGCCACCTAAACGACTCTCTTCTGTGCCTAGACGATCGACCTGAGCATTCAAGTCTCCGGCTAGTACTACAATATCTGTCGAACGCACTTTCTGGAGAAGAACAGATAACTGGTGATAAAATTCATCCTTGGTTGCATCCAGGCTGCAATCTGTCGGGGCATAGGCGGAGATGACGAAAAGACATCGTTTCTCACGCCGATTTCTTCTCACTTTGATGGAACTCTCTAATCTAACAGCACATAACCGACTGTTAATGGGGATCCAATAGATTAGTGCTGCCCCAGTTCTAGCGCTCAGTGCGACACCAACGCTAGCAAGACCAGACGAAGATGCCACAGGGTCCCCGGATAAGCGCACGTAAAACAAGCTTTTCGAAGCGACAGATGGAGAGCGAATTCGTAGTACTTCACCAGAGTCTTGAATACGGGTCTCGGATAGACAGCAAGCATCGATATTAAGACTTCCCAAAGACATAGCCAGCCCTATCTGTTGTCCAACCTGCATAAGTGTGCGAACGTTGAAGGCAGCCAGTTTGAATGGCGCGTGCGGTTTCAGAAAAACTGCTTCAGTACTCATATTCGGTGGTAACATACAGTAAACCCGTCCTTTGGTTGATAGACGGATATCTCGCCTACGCCACAAATGACGCAAGTTGGTAAAAGCTAGTCAAGCCTTCTGTATCCGTGCTGAGACTTCGTGTCTCGGAAATCAAGAAGAGAATTGACGAACTCGACGCGAAGGTAAATTTAAATCGATTCAGTGATGATTCGGAGATCAGTTATGGAGAAGCTGCTTGCGCATGGGTTACTTATTTGCAGAAAACGCCACACTGTTTTGTTGTATAGCAAGTCTAGGGTAGCACCTATCAAACAAGTCAATATACCGGGACCTGGGAAGGGAGCAGCGGTGCTAAGTGTGAGGATAAATGAAGTCTTAAAGAGTCTTTCTAATTTTTTCCACGAAGTGAACTTCCGTACAGATCCAACGTGTTGTATTACATTGATACTGAAAGTCGGTAGTGTGATGGACCTGACAAAAATGAACGTAAAAAAGTATTAACCAAGCTATTAAGAGTAAATAATAAGGTTTATTGTTACAAATACAACAGAAAATTGGGACTTTACCTAAGTTCATTAAGTTGATGCTTGTTCGGATTGGGCCTGATACTGAAAATCCACAATTATAAATGTTCGGTGATTCCGCTCAGGTTGTTGGACTCAAGTAATGTAAACCAATGTTATGTATGATATATTCCGACCCACAGTCTATAAATGCA